CCTCCTGTGGTATGTTCAAAATAGAAACAGTGAAACTGCCGAATTGTCATACAAAAAATCCCTTGCAATTGCGAGAAAATATGCCGTTGACAACCAGAAATTTGTGAGAACTGTTTCATGCAATCGGACTATCGAGTGCTTAGCAAACTAGAGTCTAGGCTCTGTCATTCGCCTACCAAACATGGCGAAAGTTTGCATGGTCACTGCTTCGAGTTTGTAAATACGTACCTGGAGTACCTGTATTTTAAGGAAGCAGTGACGCAAAGTGGATCAAGATCTAGCCAGAAAACAGCATCTGTCATTAAAGCCGGTACACTTTACTCATCTTGTGAGTTTCACTTCCAAAACTGTGATTATTACATGAATTGATGGTTGTTCCAGCCGTATTGAGCAAGCCTTCTAAACGAATAGCTGCAAAGAAAACGAGCATTTTTGATGCAGTCCCCTCCAAGAAGAAACCTGTGGAGGCTATGGACAGCGTTTCTGACGAGGCTGACACGGTATGTTCAGCATTCTTTTTCTGGCATAGGAAAGTGTTCCACTTAGGATCGGTTTACGGTTTGATTGGGTTTCGTACCTCCGTTGCCGAACAGTGCATGTTCTCTGTAAGGAAAAACAGCTCAGATAACTTACGAACGGTTGTAAAGACGTGTGAAGATAATTGCGATAGAATCATCCGAATTAAAATTGCGATCAGTTTAAGACGTCGATGACGCGGTGCACTTCGACGTTCGGTCACAAGATTTCGGCTTCTCCAATTTTCAACAGCCGATCTTCTGGGATGGATGACTCATCTTGTAAGAGAAAGTTCAAGTTGACCGCTGACATGCAGTAATTTTCTATGATTTTTTTAGCCATGTCCAGCAGAAACGCCAGACGTGGAAAGAAGACTAGTGTTTTCCACCAAGGCCCTGTCATTGAGCAACGACCATGTGCAAAGATCGTGGAAAGCATATCTGATGAGGAGTTGAATGAGCCAGTGGAACAACCTGACGTGGTATGTATGGCCTTACGAAGCTGTGGTCTTGCAACTCTTTTCTCCTCCCTTCATATTTTCTCATTCTGAAAGAGGAGATCTTCATTGTATTATATGTAGGCTATCTTGCTATGTGCTCATTGTTGACGAGGAAAAAGGGAACAGTCACTGTGTCTCAGTTGACTTAGGTGCACTCTTGGACTCAGGGACCTCCTTTTTGAAAAAAAAAAGTTTGGCTCTAGACCGTTAGGATTGTTCTCTGTTTACCGATCGACATATTCCGCTAAATGTCACTTGCTATCAACTGGTTTCCTGCTTGGAAGCGAAAGTGAGCTGGAACCTTCAAGTGCAGTTAAAGAGTGGGGGAGGGGGGATTGTGACCATCCCTGTGACTATCTACTCACCAGTTTTCGCCGCACGCTCTCACGCTCACAGCACGGTTTCTTAGCGAAGTGGAACGCGGCGTTCGAAACTCGAATTCATTTTTTTTCGCTTTTTTTCTGAATTCAAATTCGAAACCTTTGCCACCAATAGCATTAGTCCATCCCCCCTTTCGCCAGTCCTTTTCCGCTTTTTTCGTTTTCTTAACCGTTTCAGGGATGATTTGTGAGTTTCGTGGCTAGTTCTGAACATCTAGATGCATGAAACGCTCATTATTAGAATTTGACTTCCCCTCCGTTAGCTTTTATCCACTCTTTCTCCGGTCCCTGAGTCCCTCTAGAACAAAATGATGAGGTTTTTGTGGAGATGGCCCGTAGCAGGATAGTTCCGCCCCTTTCCTTGTTCCACGTGTGGGCCTTGTACATTCAATGTTACTGGCTCTTCTACTCCAATTTTCATGATTTCTAGACTTCCTAATTATCGAGTTATCGATTTTTTGGCAAGCAGCTCATTTCGAAGGACAACGAGTAACATGGAGAGGTGCAGCTCCCTGTGGGTAAAGGAAGGAATAGAGTCTCAAGAGTTCGGTGTGGCTCAAAGAATGGGTTGCGAGGACCAACTGATGTACAAGCCGCTGTTTTTATCCTCTCAGCTCTGCTGCCAACTGATGATCCGGAGTGATGGAAGGCCTGGTTCTCGTGGGTAGATTTGATGAAATTTGACCCCTGGACCATGCGCGTAGGAAGGCTACTCGCCGCTATGCCACCGTGGATAAAATTTCACAATTACGGTGGGGCGAGACACCCGAGTGGGTGAAGGTGTGCAGGGGCGAGACCCCTGCACACCTTCACCCATTTTGTTTGCCCTAGTTTTTTTGGATTTGAATAAGAAGTTTTTGCCCCCGGTGCCGCGCGTTTTGGCAAATATCCTGCCCACCGTGTGGGGTTCTGCTGGGCTTATGTGAGTTTGGTACATCTTGGCCCGCTCTACCCGTTGCAAACTTGACCTGATCTCTCCAGGTTTTTTCTCGGGTAATGCCGAATCTCACGTCAGACAGACGCACAGAGAAAGTGACAGACGAAGGGATCTGGAGCAAGTAGGGTTCTGAAGAGCTCGACACAGCTAGTATGAATTTTCATGCGCGCTTTTAATTTTCTCTTTTTTCTTCTCACTTTCTATTTCCAACGCTCCGCCGCCGTTTTCTTTTTTGACTCAAACCATTAACCGCACAAGTTTGGCAATGATATGCCAGAGCGAACTTCAATTCATTGTGAATTTATTGAAGTGGACTTTACAAATGATGGACATTATTCATTTATTTATTTACCAGGGGCGGAAGTGGTGTAGTGGCAAGTGGCACGCTTACCACGCGAGCGGTCCGGGGATCAAATCCTGGGTCGTGAGTCGCCCGGGCCAACCAAGCCTTCCATCCCTCCGGGGTCGGTTAATTGGTACCAGACTTGTCTGGGAGGATAAAAACACTGACTTGTACATCGGCTGGCCCCCGCAAGTCATTGTATAGGCCACATCGCATTCAAACGCCACTACGAATGTACAAATGGAAGTAGAATGCGTGCCGCATCCCAAAAGGGATTGATCAACGGCAAATGCTTTATCCTTATCCTTATATCCTTTATACGAGATTATCCCGTCGCCCGCCAGAACCTTCCCTTCCATGCGTGTGATCCCCGTCAACCCGAGACCTCCGTTCCCTGCGTGAAGCTTTGCGTTTCTTCCTCCTCTCCTTATCCTCCCATCCTCCATTCAATTGCTCTCTAGCTGCCACTGCAGCAACTTGTGGATTGACCGGAAGTGTGTTACATAGGTGTTCGTATAGCCATTTATCGACAAATCGCCTGGTCAAGTGGTCTCCCTAGCTAATCTCAAATGAGATATCTTTCCTGGACATACGTTCTTCACGGCAACAAACTCAACCTGAGCAATGAAGCCACCCAATTTCCGGCATCTGTCAACCATCATATTTAGAGGGCTGAATAAAGATGTAAGCGTTTTTTCAATCAAAAAAAAGTTTGCGGCTCTATTGGTAAGCATGTTTGTCGGCGACAGTTAGGAACGACATTAGGAAAGAACTCCATTCCAGAGGCAATGATGATAATTGACAGTGTAGGAAATATGTACATTTATTCGAGTCCATAGGGATAATGTAGAAAATTCAACAAATTCATAATGTCAGGAGATGAGGACTGAAATTTTTAAGTGGCGCGAAAAGTTGTGTTACGTGGGAAGAATCCAGTTTAGTTCGGTCGAGAGTTTCAGTCCTTCTGGGTCGAATGCTAATAATGTATATCGGATATGCCCAGGATAAAAAAGGTGACCTGAACATCTGCGACACCTATTTTTGATTGCTAGGTTAAATCGGGATGAAAATAATGGAAACCCTCAATGGACTGGAATTAACAGTGAAGAACGATCCAGGCACATAACTGATCATGACTTCGATAAAGGAAAAAGCACTGGCGGATCAATCCCCTTTTGGGATGCGGCACGCATTCTACTTCCATTTGTACATTGGTAGTGGCGTTTGAATGCGATGTGGCCTATACAATGACTTGCGGGGGCCAGCCGATGTACAGGTCAGTGTTTTTTTATCCTCCCAGACAAGTCTGGCGGACGGGGATACTAATAGCGTGTCTGTTCCGACTTCCAGAAAGGATAGAGGGCCTTGGTTGGCCCGGACGACTCACGACCTAGGATTTGATCCCCGACCGCTCGCGTGGTAAGCGTGACACTTGCCACCTTTACACCACTTCCGCCCTTGATGACTTCTATTTTTTTCTATGCATTTTCTTCTCCTTCTTTCTTTTTCTATTTCTCAATCTTTTGTGATGGAAAGCGCCAAATCTGTGAAAGGCCAATGCATGAGTTCAATCACTGCGTCTTGACCGTAGGAAATCGCCGCTCCATTACTATTTGCGAGCAAGATCTCATAGATTTGTTGAGTCCTTTGTCACACGTGGGAATCTTCCTACGTGGGAATTCGGTACTTCATTCTAGCTTTTTTTTCCAAACTTGAAATGTGACAAGGAGTTCAAAACACCTACGGTACGGAGTTTTGACTGCATCGGCGTAACTTCTCTTTTTTCCCGCAGCTCACCCGTAGGTAACTGATTTTGAAGTTGTCATTGCGAAAATGGGTTTCGTATGAAATTAGCAGAGTTGGGAACGCTAAATTAGTAGTCAGAGTTGCATAGCAGAATTTCCGAGTATTAGGAGTAGACTTGTATTTTGAAAAATCAAGGAACATTCACCGTTGTCATTGGCTTTGCAAGGTCTTTTTCTTGATGCGTCGCGCATTCTTCTTCCTTTCAGGGTCGCAGTGGCATATAGATCCCACTCGGCCTACAGGATGTCTAAAGGGTGCTAGCCGATGCAAAAATTAGCAGTATTATTGACGTTATTAGGCGCTACTTGTTTTACTTACGCTAAACGCTGCTGTGTCCACCCCATTGGTCCATCCACCCACCGCGGTAGTATCAAATCATCTGCGTCGTCTCACCGATCTGCTTGCTCTCTCGTCTCGAGAAATTTCTTTTCCTTCTCGGCACCTATTATCTCATCCCGCTGTCCAACCCGTTCTCCTCCACATCGTATGGCAAAGATCTTCAATGCAGTCTTATTTGGTTTTTTGTTTGTTTGTTAACTGCTGTCTTGAAGGCCAAGTCCAGGATCAAGAGATGAAAGAGAAGTTCTCATGCAGAAAATGGGAACCTTCCTGCTCTAGACAAGTAGAATGCCGATTTGGGACAGCATAGCAGTTCTATAGTGCGGCACAGAAAAAATATCGAACGGAGGGCGGGCACTGATCTTTCTGGGCGGAGAATGATCCAACCGCTAAGCGCTCAGCTTGTTAGTGACGTATTTAGAGGCGCGATTATGGTGCGACCACTGCAACGGCGGATCTTGCACTTTTACCCTCCAAAGGGACCCCTTCTGTAAAAGCTGAGCGCGAATCCAAGGCAAAGACATTTAACGCTGCAGTTCGCAAGGAATGTCAGAGCTGCGGGTTCGATTACCATCTGGGGCGAAGTTTTACCCATAACTCATCATTCTTGTGAATGATATCTATAGTCTCTGTGTTTTCTGCGGTTTCTACCCACTCTTTCCTAATAGGCGGTCCACTTCACACTCCTACTTTTATTTTACTTCTACTACTTTTCGAGCGCTCTTATCCCAGCAACTTGATCGTGGTGCGTGCCTTTAACTGATGAAAGATTTCCTGGATTTGATCCCCAGATCGCGCCCGCTCGGCATCACTTGTCAATATGCTACCCTGTGTAGTCACTTGGTCAAGCATACCTTTCAGTTCTGTGATGCTGATAGCGGTGTCTACATAGGATTGTAATAGGTTGGTCCATAATTTTTGAGACATTGGAGTTTTTTGATTCAATTATTTTACTTCTTTTATGTATTTATTCAACATAGCACACGTCGCCATTACTAACGGCATATCGCCAACGAGGCAATGGAGGGTGTTCATTCTCTCTTAGGGAACACCTTATGTTATGGTCGAAGAAAAAATAGGTGTCGATTTTTACATCATAACGATTAAAAGTAAGATTTTAATTCTCCAGAAGGTGATTGAGAGAGGGGAGCGGATAGTCGTTCGTTGCACGAGATTCGGGGCTACAAGGAAGAGCTAAAAGAACTGACCGCCCGAGAGTCTCCAATTTTTCATGAATTTTTTTCGCAAGGCGGGAAGTCGAACGACCTCAAAAAAATAGATTTTGTCTTACTTTGCTTTCAAGTTGAAGACGTTGCCATCAAGCTGTCAACGATTATTTTCATCACTGACAGTGGTATTGTTTGGTTTGTTCCCAGCGCGAAGCCCAAAAACCAAATGGTAGAACTTCGGAGCCAGTTAGGCTTCCCTCAAACTCACCCCAATCGTTTGAGCTAAATTACCTCACCGATGAGTGTGGTCATTCGGAGGAACTATGGGGAACCAATAGGAACATGATGATGTCAGATCGGGTTCAGGGCTGACTCGGGCTCAGAGCATTTGAGAGACAAACTCCATATACTTGAAGCTTAGCGACGTTATCGAGTTGTTTCAGTACTCTCACCTTGTGTAACACAGAAGAGCCGCTCTGACAATAGCCCCAACTTGTATTCAAATCCGCTTTCCAGTGGCGCGGATAGAGCCTCCAGACATGCCTGTCCACGGTGATTGAGGTTGATCTTCTTACAGATAAAAAAGAACCCTAAGTAAAGTAACCAACCGTGCTTTACGTGAATCGAGAGACGTGCTCCCGCTCCTGTCTTCTGGCTAATCCTCTCATGTAGCCTGGCGCGTGGCTAGAAACAGGTTTCGGAAAATAGCGTCCTAGCGAAAGAATCAAAAGCAACAAACGAGAATTGCTAGCCTCTCATATGAAGCGAGCTTGTGATGTGCTTGCAGAGATTGAAAGCTTCAATATTTATTAAGGTTTTTACAACAATACATATAAAATCTCAAAAATTATGTGCCAACCTAATAGTTTTCGTTGTCAAGGGACTTTATTCGTTCTTCGCAACATTACTTGATCACATTCTGGCTCCATGCGACGTTTCATTGCAGATACTATCTTTATAGTGCGCCATTTGGCACTTGCAGGGACAGCAGCTATTCGGCAAGTGCCCCTCGGGACACCCGATTTGAGCCTGAGAATTTGTTCAGTTTTTTGGTGCCTTCTTTCAGATTTCATTCATATGACGTCCATTCCCATTACTGAACTTGATTTGTACTCTTGCTGTCATGCGAACTGAAAGCGCGGCATGTTTCAGAAAGATATCCTGAAATTGGTATCAACTGGCAAACGCTATGAGAATGGCGACGATGAAGCGGACGCTGAAGACACGAAAGGGTTAGAGATTGAACGTGTTGTCGCCAAATTGGTGGGTTCTCTCGATTTTTATAATTTTCTGTAAAGTTTCTCTCAATTTTTCTTCACGCAGTATAGTAGTAGCAACTGACGTAAAAATTCTATTTTCGTCTTGTTAACTTAGCTGTGAGATTTCAAGCTGGAAATCGGATTGGCCGAAGCAAATTCCAAACATGTTGGGGCAACAAGGTTGTTTTCCTACTTGGGCGCGCCTCGTTAGCGCATATTTGCGTTGCGTAAATCTTGGCACGTATGATTGGTGTTCACATAATAAGCTGCGCACGCCTTGGAGCGAGCTTAAGCCATGCTTCTGCCTTAGTCCTGAATTACTAAGAGTTTTTCTTAATGACATCATAAGGAGTTAAGTGTATGAGATCCACCGAATGGTACAACAGGCACGAAACTCATAACAGCCGAGGGAGAGGCAGTGAAGAAATTATACAAGGAAGTAAACGACAAGAAAGGCGTGAGCAAGGCGAAGGCACAACAAACAAGGAGAGTGAGAACATGATCATGGTAGACCGGGGCATCGCCATGAAGGATGGAATAAGTGGGACTCGGTCCGTGGATACGGTCGACTCCTCGAGCGCTCCATCGGCCTTCTCGCCACGCCCTGAAACAATGCGATGAGTCACACGAAAACATTAAGATGCGCGCTTGCATGGCGCGGCTAGCCCTCAATTTACGCACATTAATTAAAGACGGATCTGAGATCACATCTCTTGTCGTTAGTCTCGGTTCATTAGGGCTAAATTGTGCAGCGTGACTAACGACGTTGACGACAAAGCGTGACCCGGTGACGCGTCTCACTTTGGTCACGCTTCGTGGCACATGTTGAGTGGTAACGCGTCCCACTTCTAAGTCATCGCGTTATTTCGTTCGCGCTTTGCGCGGACTTATTCCTAAGTTTGGTCAATGTATGCATTAGCAACTGCACTTAAAACCACATGATCACAGAATGGCCAAATCATTCTTTAGTTTGACGAGAGATGTTACAGCCATCTTAAGTGATTAATGCCTATTCTAGGTTCATTCCTCTTTTTTTTTCATTAACATAAACATGATGATAAAAAGGAATAATAGGAGCAAATACAATCCTGTTTGCATGGAGTTGTGTATTTTTACTGAAACAACCACATCCCAAATAATTTTGGAACCACTAAAGGTAAAGTAAGTAAAATTTGCCTTCTCAGTGGCCTTAACACGTCATTTCGGTCCAAATTCTCATTACTGTAACTTCCGATAAGTTAGACAGATCGAACATTATTGAAAACACTTTCGTCGCATCTAAGTATTGCGTATTTACAGCTCAAAATCCATGGATTTGGTGTGCGGCGGCGGCGCTCGCAAAATCGCTCTTGGTCCCACGCGGTGCAAAAGCACAAAACGCGCGATGTCGTCAACGTGTTAGTAGCAAGTCCACTAGTCAATTAGTGGGGTCACAGCAATCGATTATATGAGGTGTGGATGCCTGTTACGACAATGAAAAAGCAAGAGCTAAGAAAACCGTGCTATAAAACCGTATCAAGGATTTACCTTCTAAGTAAGGAAGAGCCAAGGGGCCAACGATTGTAGAAACTTGCGCTACTGCTACGGCTGCAACCTAAACCCGCGCCCATTTGAATTAGCCGCTGAACCGTAACTCTCGTTGCCTGTCATAGGCTCCACGTAACTCATCCAAATGCTAAGATTATTCGCCAAAAGCTGATTTTGTAAGATCCCAGCGCCATTGTCGCGCCCTTTCGAGCTGTGACCACGGATCTGTGATACTTGTGGGCTTCCCTATCCACCCGCTGATTAGATTCTTCGAAACGATTCTGGGGCTGTTGCTTTACCCCATTAATCAGCTTAACCTTTGAAAGTAATATTTGCTGTTGACTGCATGTAAATGCTCTTAGTGCTGCTCGAGACGAATAGAAACGGCAGCTATACAAAATGAGAAATAACCCATGAGTGAGATTGGTGCACAAAAATAAATGTGAATATGAAAAAGGCGAATGCGATAAGGATATGGAAAGAATGTAATGCGTAAAGATATCGTAGCGAACTATGTGATGTGAAAAGCATATACTCAGCTAACTCCAGAAGAAGAAAGGGATGAAGAACTTAACGAGATATATGACAGAACACTTGGAAGGCTTCAAATGATATCAAGGGGACGCGACAGGAAGAGCGGATGGATCATTGGATCGATGTGGAGAGAATGTTTCGGCTCTTACGCCAGCTTGATTTGTACCAAAAGTAGTGATCATTTCGAGTGTTCTGCTTGACGCAATTGCTTGCTGCTGACTGGAAAGACGATTTGATTATTGGGTGTCGCTCATAGACGGTGTTTATGTGCAAGAATTGCGGTATTTAAAATCCCGATTCCGCAGCGAGGAGGAGACCACTAACTTGGCGTTGAACAATACTCCTTTGGGATGCACCACGCATTCTACGATTTCCATCTGGAATCGAAGTGGCGTTTAATTGTGGTGTTACCTATAGATTGTCTTGCGGGGGCCAGCCGATGTCGAAATCGGTCTTGGTCATCCCAGACAAGTCTGAATCTAACTCTCCGATTCAGAGGGATGGAAGGCATTGCTGGCTCCGACGGCGTGCGTTCCAGATTGATCTCTGTACCCTTCGCGCGTAAGCAGCCGCTTTTGCCTGCACCTCGGTTTCATTCATGTCCCAGATTTTCCCCTTTTGTCGGATGATTTAAAAATACTTTTGACCTCGTTGGTGACATAAGGATATGCATTTGCTGATAGGTGTGAGTATCTCTTAGTCCTTTCGCGGATCCCTTGGCCGCACGACAATCGGCCGTTTTCTTGAGTTCCATCAACCGTGTTTGTTTATTTTTTGCTCCACAGCTTCTTGTTTACTGGATTTTTTGGCGCACTATATGTGCGCATCAATAAATAAATATTATGATAGGTGCATCAATAAACAATGTTCTTATGTCAAATTCCTAAGTCGATTCGCGCAAAATTCAAATATTATGGTAGTAGCACATAGTGATAGGTGTTTTGCTATCATTATGTGCTAATATCACCATGTACTATTTTGCTCCCACTTGCCGCTCATTTCCGTTTGGCTCTTATCTTTAACTCCTGGACTTGTCATTCTCTTTCTAGGGTGAATTGGTGCACTATGTCGATCTAGAGCGTCCTCCGAAGCCAATTATCGTCAAAGCAGCTCGTTCGGAAGTTTCTTCTGCAAAATCGTCAAATTTCAAGCGATTCAAGAAGGTAAGCGCTTTCTTGTTGCTCGTCCCCGTTGAGTGGTTTCATGTTTCAATTCCAGGCCAGTCAGGGACGTTTCAATTCGTCCTTGTCGTCTGCCAACATCTCGTGTGTCATCGGTGGTAGCGAAGATCTCGTAGATTTCCGGCAACTTCCTCAAGTTGCGTAGCTTTTTCCCTGTTGAATCAACTCGCTTGTCCAATATGCGCTTGTTTGTGAACTTACCGTGTAAAATTTAATCTGTGATAATCTTTGAAATAAATTGAAGCCAACTGACTGATGTGCAGTATAATTAAAAGAACGGCTGAGGCGGATGGCCGATGGCGAATTTCATTTCGTGGATGCTTCCGTCGTTAGATTGACAAACGTGACGACTGTTTTGAGGTTGGGACTGCACGACGCGTCCCGTCTCACGTCTTTCATCCGTTTGATGTGACGTCGTCCGTTTTCCAATCGTCTCCTCGGCCTACAGTAGCCTCGGCTCCCGGATGTGGCCATGGTCGTTGCCGTTTCTTTTCACCGAACCAGCACTTGTTGCAGTCGACAATTCCTCTCCTGGGAATGTCCATAACAGCCAAACGCAGGCATTTGTCATCTTCGCTCTCAATGCAGTGCTTCGCTTTGGGCGCCAGCGGCTAGATTTACACATTCGCGCAATTAGACGCGTAGTGCCGACGTGTGTCCCATATGTCGTTCTTCAGCGGCTTTGTCCATGCCCATCGTCCCGATCCACTTGTTCCCCGTGGCCGCGCCGACTTCCGTCAGGGGGAAGTTTTTCATCTGGCATGCGGGTGTTCGACTCGTGACGGCTAACGTCGTTCGGTGGCTTTGTGAGTAATAGATAGCCTCCTCATGCCAGTGTTTTCCATTGTGGCAATGTGGTCTGCTCTAAAAGGCAGCGCTAGCGCCACCTTTGCCTCCACGAAAGTTCTTCAACTGCCTTGTTGTTTCTGTGGAACTGCCCAAGCAAACAGCTTCTTCCAGCTAAATTCTGTAATTAAATTGCGGCGCAGCGCCAAGGGTTTTTGAGTGCCGATTTCCATTTTGATTCTCTTCTCCCTCGTAGCGTTCTGGCTCCTTTTGTGACTGTTCCTGCTGCTGATTAAATACTACTATCGCTATCCAACGAGCGAGTTGTATAGCGGTGCATCATTTGATTGGTTCGGTTTTTAATGAGGTAGTTTCCGTTGCCGCTCTCGGGGCTCGGCTACCGAGTCGTGGGCCGCTGTGGGACGTAATAACCTCTGGTCCGGCTCACATTCCTGATTCACATAGGCGAAAGTCTAGCAGGGCCGTAATGTGTTCGTGGGAACGACAACAGTCTATTATTCTGTCTCGGCGTGTCCGTTTGGGAGAACGAAGTGCTCATAAAGACTCCATTCGCTTAATTTGTGGGAACGTTCCCAGCCCGCTTGCGTGCTGCTGCACTGTTCGATTTTGTCACTGTTTACTACCAAATTCGCTGGAGGAGTTTAACTAGTTGATTACCAACTTGATATTGAAAACACGCTCAAGAAGCACTTCAAAGCTATAACACTGGCGTTGTCGAGAGATCGGTCTTGCTGAGCACGTGCGCAAGAAATTGAAAGCGTCATGGTGGGGGCGAGGGGTAACACTAGTTTTGAACATTGGCGCTTGCGACTGAGTCTTTAAGCGCGTGTAATTATTGGATATTACCATTTACTTACTCACTTTGGAAGAGTTTATTCTGACATTCAGAGTTTGGACTTAGTCCCCGAGGCGGCTCATCGCGCTAAAGTGCAGTTTGCCAGAGCGCATCTTTTTCGGAGTGTTTTTCATCAGTTCAACGATTGGAATGAAAAGTTGCAGTGGCCAAAGGCGAATCTCAATTTCCAAGACGTTGCAGCGAGAACATCAAGCAGTGTTGTAGTTATAGTGAGAAGCTCTGCAATGTTCGATTTCTCGAGATCCGGCAGTGCTCTTTTGTCGAAGCCGGACTGTTGGAGTGCGCTAATTTTTGGATTCATTTTGCAGTTATTGTTAGCTCTTTACTCTATATCGAATTTCTATACCGCCTAACATTTAACGCCGTTCCAGGTTCTAGTGCATTCAAGGCTTAATCAACTGCAATTTCCCTAATGAGGCTTTGCACCCTTTGAGTACGAAAAAGGCCGTGGACATTTCAGTTGAACTAATTAGAAAGCTGCAGCATAATCAAACAGATGGGCTCTATGAGCTTGTTAGGGTATTTCAAAATGTCACATTAGGAAAGGAATCCCTTCCAGTCTATCCGAAGTAGTGCCCCGCCGCCCCCCCCCCCTTTACTCGCTAAAAATGGTGTGTGCGGGGCATCAGAGGATTTCTCATGTTCGATTGGGTAAACGGCAAACAAGATGCTACTGCAATTTCGAGTGGAAGTCGAATGCGTGGCACATCCCAACGAGAGATTCATCGAGGCTACTGCAACATTATTTACACTTTTAGACCCAAATTTTTGCTTAGTCAGTAAGAACTCTCTTCCCTACCAAAAACAGTGCTGTGCACGCATTTTTTCCAGTCAAGGGTTGCATTATAATACATAGGGTGAGTTTGAACAATACTCGGTGAGAGGTAGGAAAGCGTTTCTTCGGAATCTTTCACATTTTGCCTTCAAGTTTAGTTAATGTCTTTTATTCATTTTTTATAGTTACCATGAGACTCATTCTTTTTGCATTCAAAACATCCCGTTCGTTTCTTTGACCCACCAAGGAGCCTTGGAGGGATTGGTGGAATGCAGTGGTTCGCCTGAGTTACAGGCGAATTAAACGGGTGGCGGCCCTCAGAATATAACTGTATACCTTAACTCATTCTCTATGTGACATGTTTCTCTTTCATTATCTATATAATTATGTATACCTTAGTTATAGCTCCCGCTTCTCTACAGTTCTACTCTAGTAAACACAGTACACAGTAAAGGACTCAAGTTTATTGTCTACTAGACAGAATACCAGAATACAGTCTACTGGAGTAATGTGGATGAAGATAGCAGGCGACGGGGGAAGGCTCGGCGGCTGGACCCGAGGCTGGCGAGGCTGGTGAGGCTCCTGAGACCGTACTGAGTGACCATTCGACTCCACCCTCTCTCGGTTCGGTGCTTATCTCCGCAATCTGAAAGCTTCAACATTAGCGACGTACTGTAACGTGATTCATGCCTTTTTCCCTTTGACCTTTTGAACTCAACCTAGACCCTTACACCTTAGCAACCACACA